ATACCAAAGCAGCCGTAACATGACACTATACCATAAGACCGAAAAGCCCCTAGGCGTGCTGACATTTTTATGGTTTCAGCTACGATGAGAAGAGAAGATTCCTGAGACCATTTATCAAAAGAAAAGTTTGGAGCGCCATATGGGCTAAATGCAGATTAAGTCGTTTGTTGGAAGTGGAGTACATGTAACTAGAATCAGTCGTATGCCATTGCAACACATGCAACTTATCCTTGTGACCAATAAGTAGCATAAGTTTAAATGAGACAAGCAAGCAGATTATCGATAAAAAACGAAATCGTATCGTTTGTGAGATAATTAAGCCAAAAAATAATGCTAGCTGGGGACAACGCTGATTCTACTAAAAGAATTAAAGCAATAAAGACAAAAACTAGCTACGGCCACTTTCATGAAAGTAGAGAATAATGCTCGTGATAAGTAACTTCAAAAGCATGCAATCCAAAGGAATTTAATGTGAAAAAGATGAAAATTATGAATCTATAAATCAAGAGTAGTAAGAATGCTAATTTCTGTCAGAATAGTAATGTCAATATGCTAGAATAAGATCGAAACGATAAAGAATATGAATCATTGGAATACTTTGGTTTAACGGACAATCGTTAATGAAAACCGAGAATAAGTGAATAAAAAAGTCTAAAATTCGTTCGTAATGATTGTTTAGGCAATTATGCTAAATTATGAGTACTAAGGAAAATGACAACTAGATACAATTTCACACAATGTATTGACTGGAAAGTAGAGGACTAAGCAACATGCACGAAGTAATACGACTGTAATGAAAATGGTCCACACTAATCAAAAAAAGGAATCAGTTCTTCATAATTTGTTTTTCTAAGAACTCTATGAATTCTAATCAAATAAATTTCAAATCCTAAACTGCAAAACCTCAAACAAAGACATTACTTGCCAAAAATGAAAGGTAGTATCAAATGATAACTAAATAATTCAATATTTCCTTACAACTAGTTTACGAAGGATAAAGGGAAATGGAAATGGCCTAGTAAGCGCTTGTATATTTATGTGCAACGCCATGGAAAAAGAGTTCAACAAATATGGACTCAATGGAAATTGTTTAGCGGCTCCCCAAACTCAGGTTGATCCCATATTACTAAGTCAGCTGATGAAAAAATATAGTACAAGACGTACCCATAAGGATAATAAGAATAAATGTAAAGCTGTAGTGAATAGAAGGCATGGGCTATCAACAAAGAGAAGAAAATTCAATAACGGAAACAAATAGCAGGAAAATCAGAGGAATTATATTCAGATAAAGAGGGAAGGTATAAAAGATAGCAGTATGAAATGCAAGTGGGTCAAAAAAGGATAAAATCCGATTTATTTACTCAGTCATTGGAAAAATAAAGAAACATGGAGTAACAAAAATGGGATTAGCTGATGGTGGGGCAAATTGGTAAAGATATCAGAGTTGTGCTCAAGGTAAACGAAAAAGAATAAGTATAGACATAAGAGAAAAGACAAAATACGGACGATCAGGCACAAGAATAGAAACGGGAAAACATATGGATTGCAAAAACACAAAACAGAGTAAGCACATAGGGAGTTGCGTTCCATAAAAGTATTTAGTGTCTTTCTTAAGATCAAATGTCAATATGCGCCAAGAATTGGGCAAGATATAAAAATGAAACACGGGAAAAGATGAAAAACTGAGAAAAAACAATCATATGGAGCAGATGTAAGTAAACGATATGTCTATACATAAAATTTAAAAGTGGCAGTAAATTATATGACTAAAAGATTCACATTAAGGTTACGGTAGATGATGGATTCCAAACTAGTAAAAGTAGAGGATGAAAGTAATCAATCCAAAGGAAGTTATTCAGCTAATAAATCGTGCATTCAAAAAATCTGTCTCCTATACATATTAGAATAGTAGATAAAAAGTTCGCAATAACGATAGCACTAAAAATATGAAGAGGTAAACAGACAAGAGACCATTTAGGTATTAAACTCTGAGCTATAAATTAAATAAAATCAAGTGAAAATCGGAAGGAAGGGTTACTGAGCACATACACAAAAATAATCTATCTAAAGACGGCTGGAAAGGGCAGCGAAAGGTAATCTGATTTTAAAAAGTAATATTATCTGCTCAGTGCTTTATCAAATTCAGATGTATGGACAAGGTAATGGATGAATAAAGATAAGGCTACTAAGAAAGCAGGTAAATAAGCACTTGATGGAGTTCTCTAATGAATTATTATTATAGGGAAAAAAGTGGATAGGTTGTCAATAATGTGGAAAAAGACAATCTTAGTAATACTGAAGCTCGACAACCCAAATGCATGATGCATACCAATGGATATTATCACAGTTCGGTGGGCAAACACATGCAAATTTTATATTCAACTGTTAGAGTGGAGGTGCAAAGGTTCGTCCAGGCCATCTTAAAAATAATAGGCACATTAACAAACAGGCATGCCATAGAGAAGTGGGTCGTACAGAAAAAAGTAGAATTGAGTGAAAAACTGTGAAAGTAGAAGAGAATGTAGGTAGGAAGAGAGACACAGTATACGTCCCTGAAGCTCCTATCGTGTGAACAAACAAGGCCAAGGACTAATGCATAGATGAAATATATATTCGAAGCTAAACCCTAAATATGTGGCATAAATAAATAAAGGAAAATTGAGACTGTCAGAAAGACTGAATTAAGATTTTCGTTCTATAGAAAACGAGCAATCGCGAAAACAATCTTGTAAAAAACTGAATAGTCCCAAGTCTACTTTCACTTGTCCGAATCGTAGACCGTTGATTCAGAGTTTGTCTCTTGTGCATTTAAGGGCCGCTCCCCACTAACTCCTGTTCCTGCTGCCGATAAGTTTTGGCCACATGGCTGGCTGGCTTGTATTGCAGAACAACCATTATGACTGTCATTGCCTTCTGAGGCAATAACAGATCGTTCGCGGCCGGATTCGGCAGAAGCAAGCAGCTGCTGCTGAGCTTCTGAGAAGTTGGTGCCAGCCTCCGGAACGACTCCCAGGTAGGTTGAGTCAGAATTTTGATGCTGTCCTTGGATAATAAGATTGACGCTATTAGGCGAAGAGGATCCTTGGTTAAAAACTGCACCAATGTTGGTATTGACTGCCGTCAACACCGACCTCGTCTCGGCAACTGCTTCCGAGGCGCTAGAGGATGCGATTTGGCATGCCTCACTGGCAGGCGCAGTGTCGCCCAATGGGAGATTCGGAGGGGCCAATTGGTTAGATGATTGGAGATGCTTAGGTAGAATGGAAGAAAGAAGATCGCTAGCGTATGCGACCTCTAAGAAATAAAGAGTTAAAGTAAAATGGAATGAAATAAAAATCCCAAAATAAGGACATGTATCGATATTTTTGACACTAAATAGTATAAATGTATATATATTAATAATGTAAACAAGCAATACATTATCGAGAGCTTTATAGAATAAAGCTAAGCTGGATCAAAATTAGCAAGAAAGTATATTTATAGTATCGTGAAATGGAATTAAATTTGCCCAAAATGCTTAATATTTAATATAGATGCTAACGAATGAACTCAACTCTAAGAAGGTTTCCCAAAACATATTTAAGTTATATTGTAAGATATTAAGACCAGAATGGGGTGGCCTTTAATATGGTCACAGTCTCCTTTCGATGTATACAAGTGGGTTGACCTCGTTTTCATAACCTAGTCATGCCCAAAGTCCCCTGTTATGTTAGTTACTATAATTCCCAGTGTCACGGAAATTCGACATTGTGGCTAAATTGACTGTTCAGGTAAGACGGGTTTAATTAAGGAGACGACCCGTAAAGACAATGCCTACTATCTGCAAGCATGGGAATCAGAACATAGGAACTCTACTCAGTGAGGCGACAGTGTACGTGCTTCTGAGGGCTTAAGAAATAGCGCCTGGAGTAAAAGGTACACTAGTACTGGAACCGAGTGAAATCGGTCAACCAGAAAGATAAGAAACAGATCTTTGAGCCTGAGGAAGATCCGGATAGGAGGTCCGAGTCAGTTCATCAAATTTAGAGGGAAGAGGGGGAAAGGTAAATAATAAACTCGCTAAAAAGAAAAGACCCAAAGAGGACAGGAGTGTGATAAGAAGGTAGGGGGTAAATAGATGGGTTAGCATAGAAAAGAAGTTATGGCATAACCGTTTCAGCAGAAAATTGGTCAAGATGTTTAGCGCTGATAATGACAGGACTCACTGAATATGCCGGCGAAGCGACTGGGAATGTACCGAGTCGATGGTCCGATGCTGGTAATTGTGATAACTTCTATAGCAAAGAAATTCGGACAAGGTGCGTCCAAATAAGTATTCCTGAAAACACGAACCAGTTGCAAAAACGAAGTCAGCCCACTTTTAGACATCGAAAGGAGACTGAGACCATATTAAGGGACACAAAATCTGGGTCTTAATATCGTACAATATAACTCTAAATATATTTTGGCAAACGGTTTTAGAGATGAGTTCATTTATTAACATACGTAATAATTATCAAACGCTTTTATACTGTAACGTCCTCAAATATAAATATTAAAGCCTGTGTCAAGTTGAATGAAAAATTTTTTGATAAGAGCTCTAGTAACTCTAGGTCGTTTAAAGGGATGAAGGACTCATAGTGAATGAGACGAGTATGCCTCATAATGGCACTAAATTTCCCTTAGACTAGATTCTTTTAATAGGTATTTTTATTTCAGGCTCACTGTATACACGACCTGGAATGGGTTCCATCAGCAACTCCAACGGGAAACAAACTCAGGTGGTCCAGCGCATAATTTCGACATAATAACGCTACGCCATACTATCATGAGTGCCATTCGGTCACAACATAGAAGTGACTTTCAAAAAAAGCTAGATCTCTCATATATCATAATTTTATAATGGCAATGTAGCTGACGTAAACATATATTTGCCGTTAAACTCGATAAACTCTCGAAATCCAACTAAAAACGAATACAAATTCTTCTTATAAAGAGAAGATAAGTTTTGAAGAATCTCTTAGAAGATTGGTACTGGCATGCCTTTCATTTAGTTTTAGAAGACAGGTAAAGAGAATTTGTAAATTGGCACCATCAGATGTCACAGGAAGATTTTCTTGGAATTGTGTGGAATTGTGGAAGAACTTTGCTCACCCCCGATGATTCCCTGCTCCTCTCGTAAACAATGATTTCTGGCTATGACGATGTCCACCACGTGACGAAC